ATGTGCTTTAGTGAATATTGTTAGTTTATTTGTGTTAAGTATCTAGAGAATAATAATAGGATTGTTTCCATATTGAAAGTAGTATGTGCTTTAGTGAATATTGTTAGTCTATTTGTGTTAAGTATCTAGAGAATAATAATAGGATTGTTTCTATATTGAAAGTATTATGTGCTTTAGTGAATATTGTTAGTCTATTTGTGTTAAGTATCTAGAGAATAATAATAGGATTGTTTCCATATTGAAAGTATTATGTGCTTTAGTGAATATTGTTAGTTTATTTGTGTTAAGTATCTAGAGAATAATAATAGGATTGTTTCCATATTGAAAGTAGTATGTGCTTTAGTGAATATTGTTAGTCTGTTTTGTATGATTTATTTTCTGTAACAAATTATCGATAGTTAGTATCGAACTATCCTGTATGATAATAAATACAAAGGAAAAATTCGCTTCCAAATCTTCGTGTTTTCTGATAATATTTCTTCAGTTGAATGATATAGCTTTGTTTGTTGTGATTAAACATTGTACTAAATAGTATCTACGAAATGAAACGTGTACTTCATGATCAACATTTGCACTGTTGACAAATTAGCAGAATTAATTCCTTGTAGCCATCTTTACCTCTAACACCGTTACTGACTGTTACTTATAACAAAGTTAGTTGTTTACTTTCTTTAGCCATAAGTTACCTGTGTTTGGGAGATTGGCAAGGACCGAACGACGACCGCTTCGTAGCACTGATGGATTTGAGTGGAGACTCGGACCGGAAACCCAAGTTTCGGTGTGGGGTACGTCTTTAGGATTTGTATGAGTATGTAAATATAAGGAAATAAACTCATTTAGCAGTTTGAGTGAACTCTATGTAGTTCTAAGAAACATTATGTAAAAATATATTAGGTTTAGTCCAACAAGGGTTATTTTAGACTTCCTACAATATTACGTTTAGTTCAACAAGGGTTATTCTAGACTTCCTACAAGATTACGTTTAGTTCAACAAGGGTTATTCTAGACTTCCTACAATACCACGTTTAGTCCAACAAAAGTTATTCTAGACTTCCTACAAGATTACGTTTAGTCCAACAGGGGTTATTCTAGACTTCCTACAATACCACGTTTAGTCCATCAAGGGTTATTCTAGACTTCCTACAATACCACGTTTAGTCCAACAAGGGTTATTCTAGACTTCCTACAATACCACGTTTAGTCCAACAAGGGTTATTCT